AAGTGCAATTGTTTTCCATCACTGAACACCATGGATGGCCAGAATCAGTGGACCTCACAGAATGAATATTATAATGAGCAAACCCTTTGTGCACTGTTTTTAGGATCTGTAAGCTATGACATCATCAAAATTCAACTTCCTCTTGAGAACCATACTTCAAGACACTAGAGCGCTGTGGGAACTGAGACGTTCCCCCACTCAAACTAACATTGTATAATAATCCCTGATTTATGAACTATTTCTTCTAAACAATCTTAACCTGTTTGGTGTACGAGTTCCGAATGTTATTGTCTTGTCTAAATAATTAGATCTACTGAATAATTCCTGACTTTTTTCAAAACCAAAACCCGTATACAGTATGACAAGTTTTTGTCTTCCGTCCCCCTCACCCCCCACCCCTCCAATAACTTTCAAAATAACTCTCTCGGAAGAAACATCTGTGGAGGCAGAAGCATTTACTGACATTCCTCTCTTTACAAAACATGTCCTTCGGCTTACAAAACATTTGCAGTGTGTGATTTATTTGTTGATAACATCACGAAAATCCAGGGTAAGACTTGTCGAAGCCTGTGTGGTTTTCAATTGTTTTTCCTCAACAATATGTTAATAATAACATTGTAGTGCAGCTAGACAATTACACAGGGACGGCCCTTTTATCTCTCATTTTTGTTTTGTTCTAGGCCAGTGAATGACATGTCGGTATTCAGAAATCTGATAGACTTCACCCTGCACGTCTGCAATTGTGAAATCGCCTCAATGCTGCGATGTCAAATCTCTCATCTTCGTTCCTCAGATTCCTATTATCCCAAATTCATTTGAACAAACTGGTGGGAAAATTCCCTTCGAGTCTATTCTTTATGGGGCGCTGGAAAACCTAGAAGAATAGACTTTGTCATGTGCAAATATGGAGACCACAAATGGTTCTGAAGACTATTGCCATTGTCTGTCGACTTTGCCACTGGAGAATGCCAGGGGAGAAAGAAAGAAAGGGAAATAAAGAAAGGAGCGTTTGATAAAGTTGTGAAGGCTGCCTGAATGGCTACTGGATGTTGGGAGTTTTCTTGTAGTGACCTCAATTTGGTACTGTAGGAACCCTTGAAAGCACTGTCTGAAGTCACAATACCCTCATTATTCCCAGTTTAGCAAAAGGGATTAGTTAAGAGGGTGACATTCCGTGCGGAGAGTTCCAAGTGTCCGCAGAAACAAAAGACTCTGAAATGTTTTTGAAGTTATTTTTAATTGAGTTGAACTAATTTAATAAAGGTCCCAAGGAAGGAGAAAAAAAAAGAATGTGATTGTTTTCTGATTTCTTGCAGATGGAGTCGACATATAGTTTACAGCACTTTGCTTGAGTAAGAGAACAGTAGGCCCATTTAGTGCTACTGTGAGCAATTTGAGATTGTTCTAAATTAAAGTCTTTTAAGGAGCTGACAGTTTATAAATAAATCTATCTGATAAAATACAACGTAAACTACATCTGTGCTTGGTTTGCCGATATGAATGCTGGTTTTAATTGGATTGGGCAGCTGAACATATTTAATAATGGTTAAAAAAAAGAAAATTTAAAGAATTAGAAACGGCCTCCTGGCTTCAAGTTACGGAGACCATGTCAGAGCATTTTATTCCTCTATGAAACTACGTTCTTTTACTGATACAGGACGAAGGGGAAATAAAAAAGAGGTTTGACATCTTAAGTAAGAAAACAGCTCTGTGGGCATACACTACGTGTAGCACTGAGATTGTCAGCAGAAGAATGTGTCGGTGGCAATGTACATGTTTATAATTGTGACACTTTATTACAGAGCTCCTGGAGCTCTAACTATGACATTCAGAGCAGGGGCTCATCTCCAGCTATCAGCAACCAGGCAACATGTATCCACAGAACAAGAAACGTGGACAAGAGTGTGGTTGTAGTTATACTAACACTTCGACAAAGTTGACAGCAGCAATTCATAATATCATGTTGCATTTGCATGAAAATAGTTTAGCTGACAGTCGAACCCTGACTGATACTGTGGTAGCTAAGTACGCCATTCACCATTCGATCGATGTGGGCCGTGTCCTGAGCTTGTTTTAATTTAGTCTCTATATACATCAAAGGATTTGTCGAAGGGCAGGGAGGGAGAGAACAGAAACCGGGGGAGGGGGTAAATCTATGCATGTGGGGTTTAGTGAAAGAATAATACATTCATTATTATTATTATTATTGGCATTTATATAGCGCCAACTTATTCCGCAGCACTTTATAATATTATGGAGGGGGGAAAATTAACGATAAAAGGGACAATTACACAATGTTACAGGAACAATAGGTAGATAAGAATCCTGCTCACAAGTTTACAGTGTAGAGGCGGTGGGGTATAAAAACACAAGGAAGGGCATCGAGAGGGATTGCAACCAAACGACAAGGTGGGAAAGTAACAGAACTGGAGGTGAGAGTGGAGTGTTGCCCTTTATGAGAAAGCAAAAGACATGTTTAAGACATTTAAGTTACTCTGGGAGGCCTTTTCTGAACAGCATTAAGCATTTCTGAACAGATGGGTTTTGAGGGACTTCTTAAATGATTGAAGACTAGGGGAGAGTCTGATGGCAGTAGGCAGGCTGTTCCATAGGACGGGAGCCGCCCGCGAGAAGTCCTGCAAGCGCGAGTTAGCAGTAAGGGTGCGAGCAGCAGACAGGAGAAAGTCACTGGCAGAGCGGAGAGACCGAGAAGGGGGCAAACTATGAGTCAGTGAAGAAATATATCAGGAGCTAGAGCTTGGTTCGAGCTTTATAGGTAAGGGTAAGTATTTTGAATTGACACCTATAGGGTACAGGAAGCCAGTGTAAGGATTGACAGAGGGGTGAGGTGTGGGAGGAGCGACAGGTGGCAGCATTCATTACTGATTGTAGCGGGGCAGTTCGGCTTCTTCGGAGACCAACTAGGAGAGAATTACAGTAATTCATGCAGAGATTACCAGCGCATGAACAAGCTTCTTGGCAGCATTTTGCGGGGGGGAATGCAGACGATGTTTTTAACCCCTTCCCGACCAGTGACGTACCAGGTATGTCCATCAAAAAATGGTCAGTAACGACTGCGGACATTTAATAAATAGCCACTTACCTGATCGCTGGCGATCCCCGTCCGGCGATCGCAATCCTGGGGTCTGTCTGGGAGCTCAGGAAGGCCCACACTGCCCGATCCGGCCCTCCCGGGTCATGTGATCGTGAGGTCCTTGCAATCACATGGCCGGAATAGCCGGGTTGTGCAGTGCCGTTTAGGACCGGCGATTCGTAGCGATCACGGTCGGGGGGGGGGACTGCCGGAGACCCCAGCAGTCCCCCTGCAGCAGCTCCTGAGCCCTGTCCCGTAGTCAGCCCCTGTCACCCTTCCTCAGCCCCTGTCCTCTAAGTCAGCCCTTGTCACCCTTCCTCAGCACTGTCCCCTTAGTCAGCCCTTGTCACCCCTCCTCAGCCCTGTCCCCTTTGTCAGCCCATGTTCACCCTCCTCAGCCCTGTCCCCTTAGTCAGCCCTTCCCCCTCCCCCTTGCCCTGTCCCCTTAGTCAGCCCCTGTCCCCCTCCTCAGCACTGTCCCCTTAGTCAGCCATCACCCCTCCTCAGCCATGTCCCTTAAGTCAGCCCCTGTCACCCTTCCTCAGCCTCTGTCTCCCCTCCTCAGCCCTGTCCCCTTAGTCAGACCTTGGCACCCTCCTTAGCCCTGTCCTCTTAGTCAGCCCCTGTCACCCTTCCTCAGCCTCTGTCCCCCCTCCTCAGCCCTGTCCACTTAGTCAGCCCTTGTCACCCCTCCCCAGCCCTGTCCCCTTAGTCAGCCCTTGTCACCCCTCCTCAGCCCTGTCCTTAGTCGGCCCTGTCACCCTTCCTCGGCCCCTGTCCCCCTCCTCGGCCCTGTTCCTTAGTCAGCCCTTGTCACCCCTCCTCAGCCCTGTCCCCTTAGTCAGCCCCTGCCACCCCTCCTCAGCCCTGTCCCCATAGTAAGCCCTTGTCACCCCTCCTCAGCCCTTAGTCAGCCCCTGTCCCCTCCTCAGCCCCTGTTCCCCCTCCTCAGCCCTGTC